ATAAAATGAACAGACAGTCATCAAAATCATGTAATTCAAAAAATGGACTTTTTATTAGTTATAAAAATTAACCATTGACAAATATGTGTGAGCAAATAAGTGATTTCAAATTCACGAAAAGTTGAAAGGAGCTTCTGTGGTGTGTGTGATAAATTTATTGATATATCAGAAAATAAAGTTGAGGATTCCTATTTTATATACTGACCTGCCAATATCTATAGCTGGTGTATTTAACTGGTGAACACTCTGAAACCAATAAAAGGGAAGAAAGAAAATCTAAAAACGATATTTCAGAGCACAAAGATGTCATGACACAGTGAGTGAAGATTGAGATTTTATTTAAGCATTTTCTTTTGAAATTAAGAAATTAGAACTTAGATAATATAAAACCTCGAATTACGAATTAATAAAGTTATTTCGCAAGGAGCATCTGAAATAGATAATTAGGCAAACTTTTCAAGTTTTACAAGAAGTTCAGCTAAGGTCTCAGCCTTCGTTCTTACTCTGCTCCTAAACTGTGCTTTAGAAACTACCTTATGATGTAACACCCCAAAACTGTTTGATAAGCCAGCCAATAATGCTTTCTTTTGTAAAGTTGCTTAATGCCATAAAGATTTTCACTTTAAATGTGTAGTAAAATGAATAGCTTATTTTTCTCTATTCCACCCATTCACCTTGTAAATTATTTCAAATTGTTCCTGCTATGCCTGGCAAAACAGTAGAGGTGATAGGTTTAGATCTGATGGGTTCTGTCATTTCATGTAGTTTCATAGTGTTTGAGGTTGAAATTCTTGAGCAGATGCAGAGAAGTATGTCTGGTGTGAACTTTGCATTTAATAATTTCGTTTGTAGCTTTTCACCCTAGTATTGATGTCCTTTCATACACTTATTATGGCTTCTTCAATATTTGTATTATAATCCTTCTGTAATTCTTCAGTCTTGTTCTTGTAACCATTATACGCTCTTCTTACTGCTTTTGCAACCTTTACCTGTACATTATATATGGCTTCTTCTACTTCAGTACATAAATTTTTGATCTTGTCTACTATCAAACCAATCTGGGTTTGCATTTATTATTTAAATGTAATGTCCAATTCTTGTAATTCCTCTATTAAATACCTGGCTCATTTTCATAATTTTCTGTAACTTTCTTCTTGACATTCTTCTAATTTTCTCTCTCTTTCTTCTCGATCTTCTTTTAATCGTGTCCTTTTTTTCTTAGTTTTTCTTAAATTTACTGTAATTTTCTTGTTGATCGTCTTTATACTGATTCATCATTTTCATTAAAATTTCAATCTTGCATCAAATATGTGTAGTCATCTTGAAATTCAGTCTTGGCTTTATTTTATTTTTTACCAAAATAATCCCATTCCTAACCAGTGTTGTAAACTTGTAATGGCTTCTATTATTAGGTGGTTTCTTTGCATTATTCAGTAAAAAAACAATACAATTTCTATTACACTTCTTGGTACCAAAAGCATTTTATTCTTTCGACCAGAAGGTGTACGATTAACGCAGTTCTAACACAACTATTGTTAGCCCTAACTTCTCAAATTATACAAAATATTCACTTATTAATTTTCTGTACATATGGTACTTCTTGATCGTATCTATATTCCTATTTTAAACAAGTTCAAAATTTACTGCACTCAACTGACTAAGAGACTAACAAATTTGCCATCTCTATAGTCAATCCAACCACTGTAATAGACTCATTAATCAAACAACAATCTAATCAATAAAAACTGTTTCTTTTAAACGTCCATCAAGATGAACAACTCTTAGTTTGCTACTCTATCCATTATTCTTGGAAATTATTTTAAATTGTGCCTAATATGCCTCCCATGGTACCTTTCCACCATAGTCTGTTGGTTTCACAGTTGAGCGATGCTGCTGAACTGACATGATAAGTTCTGTAATATGATGAGGTAGTGATACAGCTGAGGTAGTATAAAGTCCTTCAGTAATAGGTAGCAAAACAGTAGTAGTAACAGGTTTAACTCCTTAAACCCGAGCAGACACTACCAGCATCCAGCCGAAAATCCCGATTTACCCATCAGACGGCGACAGCGTCCAATAACGTTTATGTATCTTTGGCTGAAACCTAATATCAACCATGTTATTATCCAACTTTTATAAATAGATTAGAAATTTTATAAGGTATGGTGATAAGTATTAGGACATCATGAGAATAATTCTGGCAGAATGCGTAAATATTTATGAGTTTAAACAGTTAAACAACCTAATCAACCAACTCTCAATTTTACTTGCATTTTTATACTTTCAAATAATTTCGTAAACTTTCAAGAAGCTTCGAAACGTTAAACCACGCACTCATCAATTTGTATCAAGACTCCCTCTGACAAAACAACAATACAAACTTCTATAATGAAGATTTAGGCAATATTCCTTATCTTGAACAGTTGATAGATAAAGGCAGGGTCATACAATGTGATTGCATTAATTTTGAGCTTGTTAGGAAAAAATTGGGAAGTTTAAAGAATCAGGAGGCTCCTGGGCCGGATATTATTTCCTCAAGGGTTTTGAAGGAGGTTAAAGATTGGACATGTGAGCCACTTGCTACTATTTTTTGTAAGTCCTTGAATAGTGGGCAGGTGCCTAAGGATTGGAAGTTAGCTAATGTCACTCCTCTTTTCAAACCTTCAAGGGAGGCAATAAAAATTATTCTAGTAATTATAGGCCTATTAGTCTTACATCAGTTGTGGGAAAAGTTTTGGAAATTCTAATAAAAGATGCTTTGTAAAGTCATTTAACAGAGTTTAGAAATTTATTGGATAGTCAACATGGTTTCACCAACAAATCTTTTGACATTCTTTGAAAAGGTTACTACTCATGTAGATGAGTTTAAGGGTGTATATTTGGAGTATCTGAATTTTCAGAAAGCCTTTGAGAAGGTGCCACATAAAAGGCCTGTAAAACAAACCGCTCTCTAGGTAGATTTGGGGGATAAGTTAGGTAATAGGACAGAAGATAGCTGGATGGAAGAAGCAGAGGGTTGTTACAAATGGTGCTTAGTCAAACTCGATCAATATCACAAGTGGGGTACCTCAGGAATAAGTCTTAGAACCTTTGCTCTTTCTGAATTACATCAATGACATAAATGAAAGAATGATCAATAAATTACTTAAATTTGTTGATGATATTAAGGCATTGGGTGTTGTAAGGTGTGAAGAGGATGCTGGTGCTTTACATAGGATTTAGATCATTTAGTGAGTTGGGCAAATTAATGGCAAATGGGTTTTAATTATGATAAATGCGAGATATTGCACGTGGTTTATCATAATTTGAATTATAAGTATACTTTGGATAGGAATAACCTTAACAGTATCACGAAAGAAAGGGCTCTTGGTATAATGGTTGATCACTCTATTAAGTCATCCAAGCAGTGTGCTGTTGCTAGTGGTAGGGCAAATAGGATTTTAGGTTGTATCTACAGAAATATTGAATATAAGTCGAAAGAGGTTATAATTTCAATGTATAGGTAATTAGTTAGGCTACATTTAGAGTTTTGTGTTCAGTCATGGGCTCCTTACCTTAAGAAGTACATTGAACTGTTGGAAATGGTTCAGAGGAGGGTAACTAGAATGGTTCCTGGGATGAAGAGTTTGTCATATGAAGAGAGATTAAGATCTTTGAAATTCTTTTCTCTTGAAAAAAAAAAGAGTTAGAGGGGACCTGATTGAGGCATTTAAGATTGTAAATGGAATTAGTAGTGTTGTTGCATCATCTTTTTTTATACTTAACAGCGAGAATAGTAGAACTAGGGGACACAAATATAAACATTGGCAAGTTAGGAGTCATATTTGGCAAAGACAGTTTTATTTTTTTAGCAGGGTAGTTGGCCTTTGAAATATGTTGCCTTCAGATGTTGTGGAGGCAATAAATTTAATTGGGCTTAAAAGAAAGTTTGATAACTATGTGAATGATAAGGGCCGACTTTAAGATTTTTTAAAAATAGTTTTAATTTATTTAGAGGGAGGAACAGCGGAGATGGACCAATAGATTATTTTATTATTATGTTATGTTATGCTAAAGTGAAAACATGACTATAACAGCAAAATGCGTGAAATGTCAAAGACCTTATCCATACCATTATAATGTTGTAACGTTCTTTCAATGGCAAGGTCTTTTGAATTATTGGTGAAAATGCTTCAAAGTCCAGTCAAGTAAACGATAATAAATAAGTTTATTTCTTGACGCTTTGACAAGCTTCCTTCACTTGTACACTGTTGTAACAATGTAGGTTTAAAGAAATATCACGTTAATTTCTCTATTACCAACATAACAATCAACTTACATGTACAAAGTAACTCACTATGCGCTATCGCTTACATAGATCCAAATACGTAAAAACAGTGATTGATTCACTCAACAAGCTTACTTTCTTAGCTTTTTAACTCACCCGTTTTTATAATCTAACTTAGAATACACCTAATTAATTCTAGGCCTAATTTATTGTAATATATTACGACCTGCACCTCTCTCTAGCTTCAATCTAATTAAATATTCATAGATTTCAAAATATACCTATACATATTTATTAGAGAAGCAATTTGCAAGCTTTTAAAAATCATAGACAACTTGACCACTTTGAGTTAGAGCAATCAACTACTGTGTTTGAACATTAGAACTAAGGTTTCTTTTTGAGTTAGAATAGACAATAGTCTTTTATGATTATCTCAGTATAGTCAAAAGTGATTCGTGAATTGTTTGGAGCACATGATTTGTATCCATTTTTTACTAGTAATAATGATACTGAATTTTTATTTATAATTATTTTCTATATGTTTATCAGTTTTATTTTAGTTGATGTTTTTTAGATAATAATACAGACACGGAGGTCATATTATTGTGTGGAAAATATGAATCATTCGATTTAGTCCTCGTGTAATCCAATCACAGTTCGCTTTCACTGACGCTAGAAGAACGAATATTTCCGAGTAATGTCGGATATTTCCGTAAATCTTAACCAATGAGCACCTAAGTGTGGGACTATTGTTTAATTTACTGTTGAATTTTGTTAACGTTAGGCCTGATTATTGTTACTGTGTTACTTGCCAGTGTAAAGAGATTGTGATTTTTCATTGAAAGAATATTAACTAAGACTATTCAAAATATAACTATCACTATTAGACAAGTCTGTTATTCTTTGAGGAAATAGTTACAATATACCCTAACGTAAGTTGTAATTATGTAGCCGACTAAATTAGTAATACTAACGATAGTATGTGTAATTCACTTATTTACTAAGTAATTGTAAATTTTGCAGACAAAATATTGTACTTGTTATATATTTATTCCAATATTTGTAATCTTATCCCTAATCGGATTCGCATTTCTGGGCACAATACAACAACTGACTCATGTTTATTCTATTACGTTGTACTACTACTTTTAGCTAATCTTACTACTTGGTGTTTTTTGCCGTGTAACTTAAGTTACGGTAAATTAAGTTAGCCCAAACCGATTCATTGATTGTATTTTTAACTTTTGTAATCTAGTGTTCAAATTTTAAGATTCGTTTGTAAGTTGACATTAACTATTAGAATTTATATTAAGTAGGCTTGTAAAGAATGAAACTATATTATAAATATGAAAGTTGTAACATTATACCACTGTACCACTACCAGTCAAGTGAAAAATGGCAGTAGCGAATAGGGCAGAGTCAGCAAGTCTAGGTTAAATGCTTTCAAATTCCAACTTTACACAAGTTAGCCTTATAATTATATTGGCATCATTAGAACCTGGTTAGACTTATTATTTCAGATTAGAAGTTAGAGGTATTAAGTTTTGCAGTTTAACTTTTATTTTTTAATGAAACGAAAGCAAAGTTATAGCAATTTATGTGATTGAGTAAACATATATCTGTTTTAAATTTGTGCCTTGAAGTTGATGTAATGTAAATCAGTGCATATTATATTATTATTATTTTCTTCTTCAGGTCTTGGTACTTAGATCATAATACATTTCAAATTGTGATTTTTTTTTAAACAATTTTCTACCTTACCCCTAAGAATAATTTACATTGTATTTTAATACAAATGTCATAAGTAAGGTATATGTAAGATAAGTATACTAACACTTAGCTAATTAAGGAGTTTGATTATTATTGCACATATTACATGTGTTTTTTAGAAAGATTCTGTAAAATTAGTTCTTCAAATAATATACCATTTTTTTCATGCAGCAGTAATTTGTCTTCCTATATTCACTGAGAACTAAATACAAACAATTGAAAGTTAATATAGCTCCTTACATTTGTACATACACCAAGCAGATTTTATATTAAAATTAGGTATTAGTTCTGGAAATAGTGCTTGTCATTTAAGAGTTAAATAATATTCAAAATTCTGTATCATGACTTTGTGTAGACATTCTTTTAATGTTATTGATTTCTCTTATATTACTTAGATGTATGTTGTATGAGTCCCAGAGATTAACACAAAGCTAATATAAACTATGGTTAACTAGGGACTATTTGGGCCTTCAAGGCTATCCTTGCTAAACCTATATTGGGAGAAATATAATCATCTCAATTTTCTTACCACATTGTGCTTTAAAAAGTCCTTACTGTTAGTTTAACATTATCACCAGATGTTACTCATAAACCCCTTTTTGATTTCTTAATTTCTTTTTTTTAGCCAAGTCCCTAGTTTTCCTATGATTCTGTAAATCTCAACTTATCAATCAGTGTAAACTTCTTAAACTAAAGTTAAAGTTATGGCATTTATCCCTAATTTTTGCTTATGTCTTGAATATGTCAATTAGGTTTGGTCGTCCTGATTATCTTTTTCATCTTTTTAGGAACATGTTTATATAGGATTAAAAGCAGTTTATTTTTAAAAGTTATTCAGATCTGTCTTATACTGACTGCCTTTTAACTCATTATCCCAATTTATTAATGATAATTTTTGTTTTGTGGCCTAAGAATTGACTTTCTGAAATATTATTAACTAAAGTTTCATTTCTCTTTATATCTCAACTTGAATTAAAACATCACACATAATTATTTAATGATCACTTTCCCAAAGATTCCCCAAATTCAAGTTATGTAACGATGTCCTCACTACTGGTTAAGATTATAAGAAACACTCAAAAAGGAGAAAGATAATCCTCTTCTACCATGTAATGCTATTGTCAGACAGTTGCTTGGGTATCCATTTCAAATTATGAATGTCCATTTGTATCATCAGGACCTCTGAAAAGTTAATGTCAATTTTTTTAAGGGTTAAAAAGAAAACCCTCAATAAAATTTGAGTATGTCAGATATTTAAGTTGGTTAGGTCAAGATATAATCTTTTAAAGTTTACACACACACACACACTGCATGTTCTAGAATGCAGTTAAATATTTTTGAAATAGTGCCATAGTTTTAAAAAAAGCCAAAAAAAATGAAAGAAACATTTTGTCATTATTTTCTATGACTTTGTTATTCTCATTCTTTGACTTGATTTTAATGGAAAAATAAACTTCCAAGACTCAATATTATTTTTAAGTTCTAAGGCCTGCAGTTAATAAACTGATTAGTTGAGGCAGTAATGAAATTCTTTTATTCAGCAGTGATAGTTCTGATGATGACATTAAAATTTTAGTTTTGAGTAATTTTTGACTTAAATTATGTTGAGAAAATGTATAGAATGTATTTTCAATGCCATTAATTTATAAGTGTGGTGTTGCGAGAGTTCTGAACTTTGAGTTGAAAATAGATTTACTTATTTATTTGAACAGATTTCTTAAAACTAGAGCTGAAATGATTAGTATATTTTACTGTTTTTATATTCATTACCTGTATTCAAATATTCAACATTGAAGACAATGAAAATATCATATGTCTTTTTTTATATATTTGCTGTAACTCGTTTGTCATAAGTTGAAAGCATTTACAATATTGGTAATAAAATTTACAGGCTGTGTACAAGAGTGTTCTAAGATGCTAAATAATATTTTGGCTGTATCATCAGAATAACTTGCAATCTGAATTACATACATTGTTGAAAATGATCATGCTGTTATGTACCCCATACAGTATATACATCAGCTCACACCACATTTAACTTGGCTATGTCACTGTCAGCCTCAAATAAGTTGAATGACTGAAACTTGCAAGATACAGTTAACTATAAAATACTTGCTTTCTTGAACAATGCACTTATTATCACTTGCAGTTACGTGCCTGTTGCACTTTATGCAGCTTGTTTTGATGTACTTGCTTAGCTTAATTCTGAAAACATTTTCATGAGTACTATGTTTATAACTTAATAGTTGGGAGAAGTGTATTATTTATAAGTGGAAATGTTGACATAAGTTAGTGGATGGACGTGACAGAAAAAAATCACTGTTGACAACAATTTGTTGAATCCCATAAATATTGATCTGAGATGATTGTTTCATTTAAATGCCTGTGAAGAGAGGTGTATTTAAAATTTATCGGGTGTAGACAAGTTTCAGTTTTATTATTTTGTTAGTGATCATACAAACAGTTTTTTCCTGCTATAAAAACTTGAATGAGACTTTTTGTATTCATCTTTCAACTTCTCATTCGATTGATCACATTAAATTTTCTATAAAGGGTTTAAAACATCTTTAGATTATATTAGACTATTTTTAGCATTTTGTAATTAGAGTATACTGTTTTTAAAGTAATAAAATAATTTTTTTTTTAATTTTGTGTTTGTTTTATTTGTTCAGTCCTTATAAGTGCAAAAACTAAGATGTATTGCAAGAACTTGTTTTTTCTTTAGGTAGGTTCAGGAACACAGACAAAATTCTGCCAATTAAAGCAATGTCACAGTTTGCAGCAGCAAGTAAAAATCCACCTTGGGCAAGAAACACTGGTAAACAATTAATATATTTGTTTTACAATTTCTCTTTTTTTTTGTGTGTAAGTAGATCCTAATCCAGTATGTCATTAGATACTCAAATTCCTACAGAGAAACTGTGAGCATGAAGGGCTTTCTGTTATGTTAACTTTTTTTATCTTTAAGGGGTGTTTTTCATGCAAGAAAATGTACCAGCACCCTTAATAAGAAATAGCTCTCATCAGTGAAGTTAGTCCGTGTTACATATGGCCACTGTGAAGAGTGCATAACATTAATCTCAGTTAATCTCATACTGTTATTGAATCTCATTATGCATTGCAAAAGTTAGCTCCAATCAATGAACAGTGGTGAATGAAAGATGGTGACTGTCTACATCTATTAAGGAACTAAACACACCTCACTTACAGTTGCAAGGTATTTGGAAGGAAATGTAGATATGTTCTCAACTTGATTATGGCTAATTAACTGTATATGTTTTGTATGTTCAAGTGACTAAATGATTACTTTAATTCCATGTTAATTTTCTGATTGCCTAATAGTTTTTTAAGTGACAGCTGTGAAGGACTCAATCTTTAGTACCAGTTAATTTCAATTTATTTTTTAATCATTTTGGAATGTAATATTAAGTTTAATTGAAATTGAAAATACTGATATTGACAAGCTAGAATATAAAATAAGAACTTATTTTCTTTTCTATTTGCTAAGACATTGCTCATTTGATAA